ACAAACTATGAAAACCAGAAGAGCCTGGACCAAAGTATTCCCAGTATTAAGTGACCCCAGATATCAACCCAGATTACTACACCCAGCCAAAATGTCTATTATAGTCGAAGGGGAAAGAAAAACCTTCCATGACATAAATAGGCCAAAAGAATTCATGTCCACAAAACCAGCCCTGCAGAGAGTTCTGTAAGCAATACAAAGAGCTGAAGAAAGGAACAACTATACCAAAGGGGTTGTGGAAAGAAATTCAATGAAGGTATAACTGTGGAAAAGTACAGCTATATCACAAATGTCAACAGAAATGAAAATGACAGGATTCAATACTCATCTGTCATTAATAACTTTAAATATTAGTGGATTGAACTCTCCAGTCAAAAGACAAAGACTAGGTGAATGGATTAAGAAACAAAACCCATCTTTTTATTGTCTGCAAGAAACTCATCTCACTTTCAAGGACAGACACCATCTTAAAGTGAAAGAATAGAAAAAAATATACCAAGTAAATGGTACTAAGAAAAAAGCAGGCGTAGGAATTATAATATCTGACAAAAGAGACCTTAACTAAAACTAATTAGAAGAGATAACGAAGGCAACTTCATTCTGATCAAAGGAACAATTAATCAAGAAGATATTACAAATCATGAACATATATTCACCAAACTCTAGTGCACCCAACTTCATAAAAACAATACCACAGGACTTTAAGACCCAGATTAATCTCAACTCATTAATAGTAGGCGGCATCACTACTCCATTGTCTGCATTAGATAGGTCAACAGGGCAGAGTGTTAACAGAGAGACATCTGAATTAAACAATACCATAAATCAAATGGACCTAACAGACATCTACCAAGTATTCAACCCAAGCACCAAAGGACTTACTTTCTAGTCAGCACCCCATGGAAACTTCTCCAAAATCAACCATATACTGGGGCACAAAACAAATCTCAACAAATAAAAAGATTGAAATAATTCCATGCATTCTATCAGACCACAGTGCAATAAAGCTTAATATCAACACTGGAAGAAGCCCTAGTCATCACATGAACACATGGAGATTAAACAACATGCTCTTGAATGATGAATGGGTCAAAAGAGAAATTAAGAAAGAAATAAAACTATTCCTGGAACTTAATGAAAAGGACAATACAACGCAACACAACCTCTGGGACATGCTGAAAGCTGTCCTTAGAGGGAACTTTATAGCTCTAAGTGCCTACATCAAGAAATCAGAAAGAACACAAATAAATGACTTAACATTGCAACTCAACAGTTTATGGCGAGGCAGGCTCCCACGGCGAATCCGAGGAAATATGTGGATGAACGCGTTCCTTTTGATAACGTCGTCTCCCTCACTGGGTCCTCAGTGTCCAGCCCCACGTTGGGCGCCAGATGTCTTGGCCCGTGAGACAGTCAATGTGGGAACCTGGAGAGAGGAGAGGGGACTGAAAGAGACAAGAGACGCAAAGAGTGGAGACAAGACAGGCTTTCTGATCAAGTCTCATTTATTGAACATCTACACAAAGTTTTTATAGGGAAGCAGAAGGGGAAGAAGCTAGGTGGGTAAATTCCATTGTAACAGCACATTTGTTACAAGACCCTTGCAACAGCAGTAAATTCCAAAGTTAATTGTAAGTTCCAGTAAAGACCGCAGTTTCACAGTTAGATCACAAGTTACAATAAATTTCGAAGTCACATCACAAAGCCAGATGGTTCCACAAGATGGAGAAGTCTCTCAAGTGTGGTAGAAAAGGTCAGGGCAGGGTCAGGGCAGAAAAACATGTTTTTTACAGTGCCACCTGGTTAGCCTTTAACTGGGTCAATTGTTGATGCCTGCAAACAGCCTGTTTCACAGACAATGGTTGCTGTTTTCTGGGGTGGGGGCCTATGGCTCCCCACATCAAATAAACAAAATCAGAGATGAAAGGGGAAACATCAAAACAGACACCAGAAAGACACAGACCATTATAAGGGAATACAAATCTATACACTACTAAATTTGAAACCTAACAGAAATGGACAGATATCTAAAGGCATGGGAACCACCAAAACTAAACCAAGAAGAGATTAACAGCTTAAAGAGACCCATAACACAAAAAGAAATTGAAACAGTAATATAAAACCTCCCAACTATAAAAAGCCCAGGACCAGATGGATTAATAGCAAAATTTTATCAGACATTTAAAGATCTACATCCAATACTACTTAATTTATTCAAAAAGATAGAAATGGGAGAACTTCCAAATTCCTTCTATGAAGCCAGTAACACTCTAATATCAAAGCCAGGTAAAGATAACCAGAAAAGAAAAATATAGACCCATATCCTTAATGAACATAGATGCAAAAATTCTCAACAAGTTACTTGCAAACCACATACAGACACACATCAAAAAGATCATCCACCATGATCAAGTTGGCTTATCCCAGAGATGCAGGGATGGTTCAATGTACGTAAGTCAATAAACATCATAAATCATATAAATGG